GGAAAACGCGGACTACGGTCTCCGGACTCTAGAGTGTTCTCTTCACTTATAGCAAATATTTAGATTAAAATATAATTGCATTAAAATTGTTATGAGAAATAATAATTTGACACGTATTTGTCGCATATTATTCAATATTAAATTACTGTTAAATATTTCAGAGTTTTAGAACCTTTTCGCTTTCATTTATATTCCTTTTTTATTCTTAAAATGTATTTTTATTCCAACATGTAATCCTAACAATACTTTTTAGTTGGTTTGTGGGTTAGAAAATTTTCTAAAATACCTCATTTGGCATTTCAATGGTGACGTAGATAAGCGGGCAGCCTCGTTCTTAAATTTCTAACATTATGATTGCGGCGAGCTGCCAGGAATATCTAACGATTACTTGCCGAAGGCGGATAATTGTTTTAGTATTTTTGCACAAGTGAATTGCATGACACAAGAATTGCATTTGTTCACTTGTCTCTTTGTAAGAAACGTCTACAAAACGGCTAGCTGTAATTTTGAAATTAGTGGTATAATTATTCACCTGAAGGTGTATATAACAAGCATAATACGTCCAATTTGATCAATCAGAATGCAGGGTTTGGTATATCCAACTGTGCAAAAATTCTAAAAGTTAATTAACACGATTCAAAACGCCCTTCGTGGAGACGCTTTTGTTTCAGTTCGTTCAAAATAGGAAGCTGTTGCATCCTATTCGCATTAACTGAAATCCCGCTTACGCTGTTAAAGTTCTATGATCACAGCACCCTGGGTACAAGGTAAAATTTACAATCTTTAACTAATTTGTAACAAATTATACGGTGAAAGAATTCAGTGTTGATCATGATTTATAACCCCAACAAATAGTAACGTGGCTATAAACTAACAGACGGTTTTTGAAGTAAGGACACAATTCGGGTACTATATATACATTCTAAGGTCTGAAATTTTGAGGTTTGTGGAATTAACATTCCGTCCAGGAATTATGGGAAAAAGATTCAACACTGTTCGAGATAATATTCTTATTAAATTTTCGATAGAAACATGTAGGTTGTATGTTCCCGACCTAATGATGCACTAGCGACGTAGACGTATGTCGCGTTGCAAAAAGCTCGACACGACCAAGCAAACCGAAATTATCACTTCGACCCGTTGCATGTAAGAATATTCCAGTGCGTGTAATTCATGTACAGTACTGTCCAGAAAGTTCCTAACACTACGGTTGCGGCTCGGTTGCGGTCGACCGACAGAAATGGCAGACGACCGCAAGGGGAAAAATACAATCGTGTTTGCCGTTCGCTTTCCAACGGAATTCTATGAAGAGATAAGAACGACAACACAATGATCATATCGAAAACATCTTATGAAATGTCTGTCAGACCGAGTTCCACCGAGGTTCAACATCGGTCTTACCGCGGTTCGACCTCAGTCTTACTTCGGTTGAACCGCAGTTTTTTATGTTATTTCTGGACAGTACTGTACATATGTCAGGTTTGCCACACATTTGTATTTCTCGACACCTAGAACAGAGCAAATTCTGGCTTTCCGCCTGAGTATATCTATCCGTCAGTCTCTTCCACACTTGACAGAAGTCAATGATAACGCATGAAGATAATTCAGCTGAAGAATTTGTGTGAATAATGAACATAAATAACACGTTGCACATCTATTTATGCATCTTCGGCAAGATGTGAGGTCAGATGTTTGAAAAAATATACGCTTAGTTTCCCTTCCTCTTTAAAATCACGTGATGAAAATATTTCGCTACTTCAGCAAAATATTTTGTTGCTTTTGATGACCGAAAGTGGTATTTCCTGACTTGGCATTTTCGTGTTGGAAATCAAGAATTATTGACAGAATTGAAAGTTAATGCCGGAATTGATTATCATGATTGAGAGCATGGGAAAAAATTGGAAGAAATTAATACTTGAGTTGAGTCAGGAATGCAAATTCTAGAGAAACTTTAACATTTGGATTTTTAAATACAAGAAACCGTTTAATAAAGAGGTATTGCATCTTGGTTCATGCATTGCATCTTAGTGTTTTACATTGCCAACGATTTGTGTGTGACTTCATATAAACTAATATAGAAAGTAGTTTAGGGCAAATTGATCGTTGATATGTTATGGCTACGTTCATTAACTGTATTGTCAAATTTCACACGCGCAACCATGCAGGTGTTTTTTCGTATTAGCATTTCATGAACAGTGTTGTCCAGAAATAGCAAAACAAAAACCGCGGTTAAACGAGGGTCAGACCGAGGGCGAACCGTGGTGAGACAGAGGTTTAATCTCGGCCTAACTCGGTCTGACAGAAACTTCTTAAGATGTTTTCGATATATTTGTTGTGTTGTCGTTCTCAGAACGGCTATTGCGAAGGTATTTTTCCCTTTGAGATCGTCTGCTGTTTCTATCGGTCGACCGCAACCGAACATAACCGCAGTGTTAGTTTATTTCTGGACAGTATAATGCAGCTTTTGACAAAAGCAGTCATGCATGTTTAAAATTGTTACTTTGTCTCTACTTTTGCTTTGAATTCCAATCATTTTTGGAAACATCACAACGGGTTAGTGTTTCATTAGACTGCCCATAATTCAAGGAGAGAAATTGTCAAATTTTTCGTTCAATGAAAAACTTTGAATTTTAGGTGGTCCATTACTGTGTTGGATTCAAATTAAGAACAACAGAAAATGCTCAGCAGGGAATGCTTAGTAACTGTCAACTGACTAATGTAACCAATAACAGCTGTAGCGAATTAGCGAAAGGGGATTTGGTTTTGATGTATGACGTTGAAGCAGTGTTAGAAAAGACAGAAATTGTTGTTAAATTTGTCAAAATTTAAAGATCGAAAACTCTAAAAGTAAAAACGCAGCTAGTTGTCGTAGCGATGAAATTTTTTGAACAAACAGTGCAAAAGAGTCATGATATCAAAGCCCGTTATCATATTTATATTAGCTCCTAATTATTATCAGAGCTCTGAAGCGGTAACATGGAAACTGGGATTGCTGTATATCTTGAGAAAATGGGATTCAGTTCTAATAACTAGGATTTTGACCCTTTTAAAGGTTGGGGTTTTTCTTATAAAAGTCCAATCGGGACTGGAATTTTGCAAAAATTCGAAGTTGGAAATGGGTTTGGGACGTATTAACAACATGCAATAGTTAACATTTAAGGCACCTCAACTAATTGTTCTTTTATGCTAATTGGACTTTACTTAACTAATGTAATGCGTCATTATTGCAGGTGGCAGTAACTTCTTTAAGTAAATTAAAGGACACGGCAGAAGCTTATATTAAAATTAGCAAGGTTTAGCTTTTAAGTTGCTTAGCAATAAGACGTATTTTAACACTTGCGTGCTAACACCTGCGCGTACAAGTACAGTAATCGAATTGTCGTTTACGTCGGGATATTGAACTTATATATGTTGAACTTATATATGTACGTACAGCAAGACCAGAGACTAGGATTATAGAAATAAGGTGAGGTGGTGATTAAAAAATTGTTTGGTTTGAGTGTCAGGTTTTAAGATCAAAAGAGTTAATAATAGACTTCAAACTATCTGAACATTGCCAGGCTACTTATGTCTGAGGGTTGAGCAGTTCTATGGAACTGTGTCTGTAGAACTGCTCAACCCTCAGACCTATGTAGCCTGGCAATGTTCAGATCGTTTCTATCAAGAACGTATTTACATTCGTTAGTGTCTTATTACGACGTCGATATGCCCTGTACATGGTCATTGCACAGAACCGGTTCATGTCATAGAGTTTAATTAACATGCAAAGAGAACATATGCATAGCCTGATTGGAAACTATATTTATTTGTTTCTTAAATCATCTTAGGCCGCCAACTATCTTATCTTAGATATTTTCCAAAAAAAAGGAAATGAACAGCTTGATTTTCGAGCTTGTGGCATATGCTTGTTCTTCGATTCGTGCAGCTATATAATTTATGTTTCTCGTGTGTGTTATTTTTTTTGTATATGGAATCGGAGGAATGCCTTGCATGGGATCAGTACCCCGTTCGCATTTTTTCCGTTTGAGCATTGTTCAATAAATTTGATTAGACTTACGACGAACAGCGGGAGCCTAGAATCTCATCGGAATTCCGGTTTTGAAAAGCACCTTTTAGAAGAGTTATACCGGATAAAACTACTTAGTTACGAGGTATTGATATAGCATTACAAATATATACCCGTAAACAGTAAAACGTAAGTAAACTTTACTTTTATTTTTCCTAACAACCCAACGAACTTGATAAAAACTCTAAATTTGATTATTTTCTATAGTTTTGCGAAAGGGGAATAACTAGATCTTCGAGGAGAATTAAGATCTTTTAAATGAACACCCTTAATTTTCGATTAGCTACTTAGTTTCAAGAATATGTTGCCACATTATAAAACTGAAATAGCAGTTTATCAATAAAAACGTAAACAAATCGTTTATTAACAGTCCGGACTAGACATTGCGTTTAAAGAAATTTTGCCTCAATTTAACTATACTTTAAGTTAAAATTTCATTTGTAAATTTCACGACATTTTAATTAAAGTAAAAGAAAGATTTTGTTTTACAGCAATGCCACATGCAATAGAGAATAGTTAGTAAAAAAACTTTATGTACTGAGCAATTCGATCGGTGCTGTAAAAATTATGATTATATATTTATTCAGTTAATGGCTACGATTAGCCAGTTATTCCAACTAGCACCGCGGGAAAACGGCTGCGCATGCGCCAAATTATGAAAAATAAGAAGCGTTGAAAAGTCCCGAAAACGGCAATGTTTTTTTCTTTTCCTGGCAGTTGTTACCCCACGTATTGCGAATTTTTTTCAAGACGCTGCCATGTAGGCTGCATGCTCTCTGGTTATATTGGTAGCATTTGGAAAATAAATTTGAATGGATAGCAACAATTTTCAATTCAAGGAACATATTTTATCTAATAGGCAATGTGGTTCACAAAAAACCTCATTACTCCTTTATTAACATTGGCAATAGCGGTGGACAACACGATCGCTAATGTGCACTTTTGCTATGATTCAAGTTTCGAAGGTAAGATTTAATTGCTTATATAGTCGACGTCGTAAATTTGACCCAGGACGCAACTTTTAAGTTTTCTACTTCAATAAAAAAAATTTCGTAGATTATACCAATCATAGTCCGTCTTTTTTGACCAGTTTATATGAGACAGCGCTTTAACGTTCTGGGGCCAGTTTTAAAATTTTCTAACTACATTTTACGTAGTTAAGGTGGTCTGATTTATTCTCTCGTTGTAACATTGATTACATTTCAATAACAATGTTGACTCGATTAAGTCGAATTATATCAGTGGTTAAGAATGGTTTGCTATAAAAAGAACTACATCACAAGATGCAACATTACAACTATATTACAACATAAGTTCAAACTATGCTCGCGATCAAACAAAGAATAATACATTCTTATGGCGAATTTTTAGATCTGTATCAAGCTTATAGCGTATCTCGCCCCCCCCCCCCCGTTACCATGGTACAGATAAAACCATATTCATATTATAGTAGTTGTAACACAAGTATTGATATAGAAGGTTTCAAATCGAGTAAAGAGGGTAATCGAGTATAATATTCCGCCGCACACTTTAGGTTTCAGGCTAAATACAGCAATTCACTCAACCGTATTTGTGTATGATTGGGTTGACTGTGCTGGGGAGTGCCTCAAAAAACCGTGTTGCAGATCGATCAACTTTAAGAAAGAATTCATCGTACAAAATTCAGAAGATTATAATTGCGAAATGTTGCACAATGTCATCACCAATGTATCAAAGAACTTGTTGGAACCAAATTCGTCCTACGATTACGTATTTATTCATAACCCAAAAAAGGTAAAATACATCTTACGTATTACAATTTTAATCATAATCAGTCTTCAATATCAATAATATTAAACAACGTGCAAGCGGTAGTAAGAATTAATTAAAGGTAGTTGCATGAGGACTCAGTTGAGGTGAATTAATAACAGTAGACAATTGGGATTCAAGTTACAATGTACCAAGAACGTGGTTTACCAACATCTACACATGTAATATACCAGGTGATCTCGCGCTTTTATTTTAACCAATCAGCGCGCGCTATGAAAGGTTGTCGAAATAGAAATCCAAATTGCAGTATTTAACCGATTATATAACAATTTTGTTGGACTTTACGAAAGTGATAGAAATTTTGTGAATACGTTTAGTGATAACAAATGAATTTGATAAAGATAGATTTGATCAGAAATGAATTGACGAGATTTCGAGCTCTTTCTTGCAACCGATATATGGGTTTCTATTTGATAACCACTGAAATCTAGTCCCCTCGTGCCATTTTAGATCTCATGGTGGCAGGAGAATTCCTATGAAATTCCTATTTACTAATCGCTTGCGCCAAGAATAATAATAATGATGCATGCATATATGGTGTCTAGGAGTTGTGTAACAAACACCATGGCGAGCTTATACTCAACATGTGTGCAACGTATTTATATACCGTTTGGCTAAGAATTGACTGATCCCCCTTTGAACTAAATTGAAAAGTATGAAAATTCAAAAGTTTGGTTGCGAAATGTTGAAACTAATGAAAAATATCACAGTGTTGTAAATTATATTTTACTTTAGGACTATAATGCAAGTTGCATAATTCCAAAAGGTATGTGTTCATTTAAGATTCTAATAGCAAGCGTGATTGAATTAAATACCTACAAAACGGTATTCGTTCTTATAATGTTGGCTAAAATAGTACACTCGCAAGATTACATGACGAGCAACAACGTTTATGGTTTGAAAAATAAATGAAAAGTACATAACATAACTAGCTATATTGTTTCTGGAATATTTCCGAGTAACTAAATTTTTCAATAGCTGTTTTGTAAGTGAATTGAAGATGCATAGGAGAGTCTTGCGACTTCTGCAACGGAGAAAATTATATTATTGTTTTCATATTTGTTTTTACCTCCATAATTATGATTATATTATTAATCATAACATTTTTAGACTCTAAGTGAGTGAGTGTCTAGTATCACAGTATCTTTACACAATGGCGTAGCCAGCCTGACGATTTTGTCCCGCTATGTAAATTTCGAGTTATTACAATTATTCATGTCTTTAGAAATCTATTGTTTCACTGTCGGCGAACACCAAAATATTAACATAGCGGGACAAATCGACTGGCTGGCTACCCTACTGTCTTTACAAGATCGTTAAGTGGGAAAGGGCGGAATTATCTATACATTCATGTTAAACGCGAAAAAATAGTCAATTAAAAGTGGAGTCAGATTCGAATAATTTTCAACAGGATAAAATGTTCTGAAACCCTGCAGAGTTTAGGCTTTTCTTTCTTAATTAAAGGTTGAAATTTTTATTCTGGTTTGATATTTTATAAGATTATAAGATTTTTCATAAGCAACTTTCTACCTTCGAATCATGTAAAGCGCGATTTCGTTCACGATCTGCAGGAAAAACATGTCATGAGAACAGTTTCCTGACTGACTACACTACCTAACTATAAAATATATAAAAATTTCAATTTAAAATTACCAATCAATTGATCGATACAGAGTGCAAAATGGCTCTCGGGATGGAAAATGGTGATATTACTGATAAGCAAATCACGGCTTCCAGCGAATGGAAAACAGATCATGGGGCGGCTAATGGAAGATTGAATTTCACACCACGAGATGGAAGAACAGGGGCATGGTCATCGGGGCGCAATGATGTTAATCAGTGGCTACAAGTTGATTTCCAAAGGTCTGCTCTTGTAACGGGCATAAGTACCCAAGGACGCAATGGATTGAATCAGTTTGTTAAAAGCTACACCGTCTCTTCCAGCCAAGATGGAGAAAATTTTCAACATTTTTTAGAAAATGGAACGTTTAAATTTAAGGTGCGTGTTCTCCAAAACTTATACCTATTACTAATTTTTTATTAATATTTTATGGAGCAAAAACTTGTTGTGCGAAGATGTGCAGTTTATTAATAATTACCAGTGTGACAGGAATTGCGACACTGGTGATAAACCCTGCATGGTATTGTTAGCGAAAGACTTTCACACAAAAGGAGTTCATTATTTTGAAGCAGCCATGTTTTTTTTAAATTAAAATAAAGAGATGTTATTCGCGAAAGCATCAGAAAAATTCCTAAATTTGAACTTACGATAGCGCGCAAAATATCTGAACGAGTGCCTCAAGATTACACTATTTATAAACCAAGCTTTTTAGGTTAAATAACTTTATTTAGCGAGCAATGTTACTTGCATAATCTATAGTAAACATGAAAGTTCGAATTGATAGCCAAATGAAGACGACTCGTCAATGTGGTGGTCTATATGCATGCTGCCACAAGTCTAGTATCGCTTTTACAAGTTTTCATTCTTTAAGGCCAAAGATCGTTAAGAACTCTTAAGATGATTTAGTGAAAACGTGAATTTTGTATGTTTCTTATCATAGGCCAGCCCAGAAATGTTTTCTTTCTCGAGTCTACTCGGTCTATTATTATGTCATATTATTATGTCAGAATAATAAAATAATAAAAGACCGAGTAGATTCGCGTACACGCGCGAACGCCACGAGAAAGAAAACATTTTTGAGTTGGCTAAGTTTTTAGCACGATTACTCGCATACATGTATTCCTTTTCCGCCAAATCTTCCCACAAAAAAGACCCTAATTGTACAGATTTTTTACGTGCAATTATTCCCGTTATTCCCATTTTAATAAAAATTCTCCCAAATCTCAATAAAAGATAATATAATACGGCATGAAGTTAATGAGTTCACGGCAACCAGGTGTATAATCCATCGTTATTATCGCTACTCTGGTTTTAATAAATTAAATGAAAGTAATCACCACACAAAGATTAACTCTCACGACCCAACGTTTCGACACTCCGTCTAGTGTCTTCATCAGGGGTGATCTGATGTTGAAACTCGGTTCCTTGTATACTCTTAAAAAATCCCCTGTCCCGACTAGATTTAATTCCTCAGAGGGTGGTTCCTCAAAAAACGGTTTCGCTATAGTTCCATACATTCACGGAATTGCAGAACCAACCAGGAAGATCCTGAATCATTGTGGTATAAATTAAAGTTGCTTTAAAACCCTTTCAGACACTGGGACATATTTTCGCGAAACCTAAGGATCGCGTAGCGACTAAACAGAAAACTCATGCTGTATACTCTATACCATGTGGTGATTGCGAGAAAGATATATAGGTGAAACAAAACACCAGTTTGGCACACGTTTAAAAGAACAGCAAAACAGACTTGGCGGAACACGTGTGTCAAACTAACCATAACATTGCGTGGAACGATTCAAAAGTCATTACCACTAATGATCGTTATGGACAAAGGCGTTGTTTAAAAGCCTGGCATATTAAAGCGAGTCTTTGTGCCCTAAATAGGGATGACGGAAGCTATTTGCCAAAAGAATATTTACATCTGATTGATAGATGACGTCATTTTGAGATCATATAAGGAACCGAGTTTCAACATCAGATCACCCCTGATGAAGACACTAGATCGGAGTGTCGAAACGTTGGGTCGTGAAAGTTAATCTTTGTGTGGTGATTACTTTCATTTATTAAAACCAGAGTAGCGATAATTACGATAGATAATACGACGTTCTAACTGTGGCAAATATTTTCCCAATATCTACAGGAATTCCAAGGTAACACAGACAAAAATTCCATTGTCCATCACACGGTGATTCCTCATATTTCTGCTCGGTTCATTCGCATTCATCCAACGGCTTGGAACAACCATATCTCGATGAGAGTTGAATTTTATGGTTGTTATGTATATTAATTATAGCAAACGTTTTCATACATACGTTTTTCAAGATTAATGTTTATTAATGTCCTGATCTGTTCTTCGTAGCATTAGTAACTTATTTATTTATTAGTAATTCATATGTCTTATTGTGCAACATATATGCATATATGTAAAGGCGATGTTTTAATAACTTTTGTTCCGTTAATAGGCGTAAGGTTTTAATGAGATCTCTATTATAATTATGTGATTCACCTCTTCAGGTTTAGGTATTTTTAATTTTGAATGTTAAATCTTGTAACATAGAATGATTTTATGCAAGAAAGATAGTTAACTTCGAGAGCGATCATTTCCAGGTTTTCATAACGCAGTCTTAACGAAATATTTGAGCGAAAGCGCTCGCATGTTTTTCATTGTTTGCAGATATGCCAGCAGTCAAAGTTCTGTTGCTGCTTTCTCGTATGCTGCAATCCTACAACGAATGTAACGCTATACGAACAACAGTTTGGCATAGCAGTTTGACAATAGTTTCATGCATGCGCTTGCATACGTTGTGTTCAATTCCTCCTATATCACGCTTTGCTCACGCTCCTTCTTGCAGGGCCATCAAGAGACATGCATTAGGGAGATTTAGCAGCGACTACGATTACGAGATTCGTCATACTCGCGCGTTGTTTGCTTACGTTATCCGCTAAAACTCGTTGGGGTTTCATGTACGAAATTTGCCAACAAACTCGTATTTAAAAACCCGGCGACTATACGAGTTTTGCCTGATAGCGTAAGCAAACAACGCCCGAGAATGATGAAACTCGTACTCATATAGGCGCTGCTAAAACTCCCTATTCTTGACATGCCAGCTATACACGAGCAACTGCTTCGCCTATGTTACGAACTCAACAACTGACGCGTCTAGCTCGCTTGGTTTTTTTTGTCTCCCTTGCTTTTCTCTCGGACGTGCTTTCCTATACTCAATCGGTAGGGAGCTCAGGTGTCGATCACGAGAATAGTTTCGCTCGTTTCTTCCTCTACCGCAGTTTTCCGTATTCCGCAAGTTCCGCAACACTCCGAAGCCCTTATTTTGCCAGCGGGACATTCCCAGCAAGCCCCACCACCGTTGTTATCAAACCTCTGGTCGTCGGTGTCTAATGTTTTAACCACAGGTTGCAGTGTTACACAGGGAGAGCGGCAAAGAGAGGAAAATTCCCAGAGGAAAATCAAGTTTGCCAGGTTTGTCACACATCTGTATTTGCTGCACAAGGTCATTCAACATATTTGAAATGTTGAGCTGTTCAACTATGAGCAGTTTCTAGAGTTCCTATAGATCCTTGTCAAAATCAAATTATCGGGCACAGTTTTGTCGACGCGTCTACCGATCTCAGCATGGTCAGAAATGCAGGCCAATATGGTATACCAAGCGTGCGTGACTTGGCCGCTAATTTAGAAATTCAATATGGCGTCACGCTTAAGAAATGAGGGAGAAAGATTTAAATTTGCTTTTTATTTAATCCACAATTGAAAAATCATTCCAGTCTACGTCCAAAATATCATCAAATTTATCGATCTTTAAACACTGAAAATTCGAGGGCAATTCGAGATGCCGTAGTATGTTCCCGAGAAAGAATAATTAAACGATTGAAATTGTATAATTAAGTTTATAGTCCAGGCATATTACGTACATTAGAGCTCCAATTTCTGCTCGTTGTTGGCAAACATCGGCAAATGACCAAGTCCAAGATGGTTCGTAAAGACGCTTTCTTTATGCACATCGCAACTGTGTTTCCCAACGCAGTGAGTTCATCAATTTCGTGCAGTGATTTTTTATTGACATTATTTTTTTTCAGCTGTTGCTATGATACAACAGACACTGATCCAGTGAGCTCTATATATATATCGAGTGGTAACTTTTCTTATTTGGCTAATGTTCAGGTGACGCTAAAGAGAATTTATATATATATATATATATATATATTATATATATATATTATATATATATTATATATAATAATATATATATATATATATAATATATATATATATATTAAATATATATATATATTATATATATATATATATATATAATATATATTATATATTATATATATATATATATATATATATATATATATATATATAATATATATATATATATACACCCATTTGCAAAAACGTTGGCCGCAGATAGATAGATAGATACTAGAATTCTAATTAGAATTGCATATGATTACTTTTGCATGGGATTTCAATCATATTACACAACATATGCAATTCTAATTAGATTTCGAGTATCTATCTATATATCTATCTGCGGCCAACGTTTTTGCAAACGGGTGTATATATATATATATATATATATATATATATATATATATATATATATATATATATATATATATATATATTTATATATATATATATATATATATATATATATATATATATATACACCCGTTATATATAACGGGTGTATATATATATATATATATATATATATATATATATATATATATATATATATATATATATATATATATATATATGTGTGTGTGTATAAAGCTATCTTTCATTAAACAATAACTTGGAGAGAAAATTATCCGAAACATACGAGTTTCATACGAGAAAACCACAAAAATCCGAGGTTTGCGGGCACTTTTAGCAACCAAGTGACATCTCCATATATATAATATATATATATATATATATATATATATATAGAGCTCACTTCACTGATCTGAATAATGCACTAAAAAACTGAGCCGCATAAGGCTCACCGTTTGCCTGCCTGCATTTCTGGCAATGAGAATACCTAGGTCTCAATCGTTTTTTTTTGTCGTGTTTAAGATATTTTTTGCATGCAATTTATTTTTGTTACGCTAGGCCAACTATTTTCAAAAATACGGCTTCTCGATTTATATCCATCTTGGATTAAAATCAAAAGCCGGTCAAATGTCTGTTTTTTCAATCAAGAAAGGGAGCTCTGTTTTTATTATACTGTCTTGAAGACATCAATAATTTTTAATGAAATGAGCTTTGATTTATCAAAATTCGCCATCGTGACTTATAATTTCCTATTTAATTTTCGCCTTTATAAAAATTAATCACCTTATTTTTGACATATATACATTAATTTTGTACCAAATTTCAGCACTTTTGCAAGGAGGTAGATTTGCAACTTTAGAATCGCGTATATTAATTTTGTTTTTAAGAAAAATTAACTGTACCGATATCTCAAATAAAGATAACAGTATATAATATATTTTATTCATGTTGATAAATGCGATTGAGAGGGCGATTTGATGTATTATAGACATATTGTTGTTTAAATATAATGTATCCCACAATATAATTCACTGCATGATTTATAATGTCAAAGCTTTCGATCCCTGATTAACCCAAATCTTCATGCAATACAAAAATATATACGTATACAGTAATTATATAGAATATAATTTATTAGTAAGATATATTGTATGGATATTGTTGAACATTCAAATGAATTTATATAATTTTTATGAGCTTGTGTAGCTACTCTTTGTTGCGCTATATTTGCTGTAAAAGAGAAAACTATTGAATGACTTAATTTGAAAGGGGCAATTTTTCTGAATACGCATTTTGAGGCTTGAAGTAGCCTATACACAAGGTTCTTGTGATTCGTTTTTGCCATGAGCAAGCTTCAAATCTTTTGTTAAAGACAAATTTTGTTGAGTATTTATAAATATTTTTCTCACCAACGGTTCGAAGCCTAAGTATTGAGAATTGGGTTAAGTCTTACCAATTTCTGCGGTGTCCTTCGAATTGCTTCTGCATGAAAGAACGTTTATTAATCCGATGAAATTCTCGGCTTTTAAACGTTTAGCCGCCGGTTGTTAAAAAGACGGTTAACTTAACGCAGGGTAAACGCTAACCTAACTTTTAACATCCGGACCCATATTTTTGCTGAAATTCGAGAAAAGTTATAGCATGAAAAGTTCTCTATCTATCTTTTCTTAGAATTAATAAAGTATCCTAGACGTGTGTTTTTTTATCGAAAGCCACAATTAAATGTCGACTCGACTAAAGAATCGTGTAAAATAATCTCCCGTGCAATCGCAACATGTAAGGCATGTTTTATAACTTTTTATATATCGTTAGTATTTAATGAAGCATCTCATTTTATTATTTATTACTGTTTTATACGTTTTTGTAATTGACACTTCACAAAAAAAGTCGTAGCTATATAAAACAGGTCTAATATGAATGTCATTGTTACAGATGTCAGTAACTGTTTTAAGCGGATGAACGACGTTTAATATTGCTTAGCAAAGAGTTATATTAAACTGAGTTTGCGTGGATGCTGACAGTTGCACGGAAGAGTATATATAAGAGGAATCGAGGTTTTTCTGAGAAATTCAAGTTAATATTTGTACTTCAAGGAGCGATAATATCGATATATAAGGTAAACAGTGATTCAGAATGAATCCTCATGTTTTATAATATTGTTTGAATGCCTGGGTCTCAAAAAATTGCACGCTAAAATATAAGCATACAGAACGAAATCATTCGGCAAGCTATGTTTAGCATGAATAAAGCCATACGTTGTCACATCCTCAAGCGTCTTTTAACAATTAAAAAACTATTTTAATTTTTATACTATTTTCCGTCTCGTAATTTTGAAATTAAAATTTGTGGCTCATTGGTTCCTGGTGATGGCTTTGTCGGATACGATCGCCAACGTAAACTTTTGTTTACTGGCTACGTTAACTACATTATCTAACTACATTATTTACCTATATTATCATTTTTAGATAAGTTACTTAGATACTTTTAGGCCGAATAACATAGGAACATAATGTCGTCATAATTATTGATTACACCACAATTTCTACATTATCTTCAGTCTGATATTTTGCTCATTGATAATATTTTTATTTTAAAGGAAATTAACTAAAACAGCAATGAAGCTCATTGGTCATACATTAAGATTCTTTACTGCTCTAATAACACTCGTATTTGCTTTGGAGAATACGGCCGCCAGTGTAAACTTTTGTTATGATTCAAGTTTTGAAGGTAAGAGTGACCAATTTATGGCCAAAATTTTATGATTATAAAGCAACCGTCTTTGTAAAGGAGAACCAGTTGATTTTTTCATCACACCGGCATAGCATATTCACCACATTGCCGGTGATTTTTCTGACCAGTTATAATGGCATCATTAGCACTTTAGTGCCAATGGGCGCTTTAGCTCTCTGACTAATAGACACGCTTATAAGTGATCAGCCAACAACTGTTATGAGGCTGATCAGGACAAATTTATAATCCTTATTACCGTGAGTTTATACATTATCGTCTCCAACATTTTGTGATAAGGAAGAATTTATTTTAGAAACAAAAATAGCTAAGTATTAAACTCCTCGAATATGTTTTGCTACAAACTTTAGATTTCAGGCTAAATACAACAATTCACTCAACCGCATTCGTCTATGATTGGGTTGACTGTGCTGGGGAGTGCCTCAAAGAGCCATGTTGTAGATCTATCAACTTTAAGAAGGAATTCATCTCAGAAAATTCTGAAAATTACAACTGCGAAATGTTGCATCATGTCATCACCGATGCATCCAACAACTTATTGGAACCAAATTCATCCTACGATTACGTATTTTTTCATAACACAAAAAAGGTAAAATATTCTTATGCATTAGTTATTATTTCAGTAAACACTAAGTGGACTGAAACAATAACTCGAGCGCCATCTTCGAAGCCGAATTCAAGGTTTTCAGCACACTAAAAATAGTTTAAATATCGAAAAGATTTTGCAAAATTTCCTTGCAAAAAATGGCTTGTATTTTATTTTTAATTTCTTTTTAATTTCAGAAATTCAATTTAAATTGCTTAGATCCAAAAGGTAAGTACTGGTGAAATATATCATAAAGATAACTTTGGTGAAAATAGGAAGAAAAAAAATTTTTTTGCTAGAATTAGTAGTCAAATAATTAAATACATCAAATCATGTGTACTAGTCTTCTTGCGATCAAATTTTCAATTCGTTTTGAGACTTTGAGCTAAATATAGCGCAGATTGTATTTATACCGTATTCAGTTATGAAATCGTGTGTACACGCGAGAACGTTTATCGCAATGTTTCATTGCACCCCTAGGTTAAGGATGAAGGTAACATGAGTTTCGAGAAAATACGAGATATTTTTCAAGAAAAAAGCCAATAAATTTTATAAACTAATGTCTTGGAATATTAATGAGACTAACGTAAATATACCGCTGGGCACAGCAAAAATAAAAAAATGAGATTTACTGGCTGATGTTGAAACTCATCCGCAATGATGCACGAACGTGATGAATGTCCACGTCCGCGACCGGCTCAGTTTGTAGTTTTTATTTCTTGAGAATGAAATATATTAGGCTATAGGATTTTATGGCGTAAATTTTACTAAATACATACATATAAATACATATATATATATATATATATATATATATATATATATATATATATATATATATATATATATATATATATATATATATATATATATATATATATATATATATATATAATTAATAACTTTATTTGAATTGTCTACCCTCATGAGGATTCCTGATTTTCATTAACATTAAAAATATACAAACATAGATTATATAGAACATACTGTACAGGGATAAGAAACAAATTATACAACAAATTAAATAGCTGATAGACAAAAATCGTTACATCGATATGAGAATGAGGACAGGTCAGCATCACTTCAAAATAGATTTTATTCTCCGTTTAAATGATTGAATGAAATCGGTAGTTTTTGCTTTGAAAGGTAGATTATTCCAATGAAAAGCTCCATTGTATTTGAAAGTTCTCTTCAGAAATTCTTTCTTAGGTTTTGCTAATTTTAAATCCGTTTCACGATTTCGAAGATCATAGGGGGAATCGTCCTCATTGCATCGTCGAAATAAATATTTTGAATTTGGAGCAGTATTTAATCATTGCATGACTATTTTATATAATTTATGTAAATTAATCTAATATTATTACGTCTCACGTCTAGAGACTCCCAACCCAACAAATTCAAGACATCTTCAGATCGAGTTAGAATTAGACCCTGTTATAACCAGTGCAGCGCGATATGATATTCAGGATGATATAACTCCCGCAGCGGGGGTGATATACAGAATGATTCAAAAGTAGACCATTTGAAATTTATCAATTTTTGTTGTAGTATGAGAGCCATCATTCTGGTCGAATATTAAATTTACATACTAACCATGAGGTCAAAAATTTGAAATCACTAACGAATACAATGATTTATTAATTGACACAGCGTGCAAGATGGCTCTCGGGATGGAAAATGGTAATATTAGTGATGAACAAATCACAGCATCAAGCGAACGTGATATAAATCATAGGGCGGCTAATGGAAGATTGAATTTTACACCACGAGATGGAAGAAGGGGGGCGTGGTCATCGCAGCAACAAGATCTTCATCAGTGGCTTCAGGTTGATTTCCAAAGATCTACTCTGGTCACAGGAATCAGTACCCAAGGATGGAATGGAAAAAAATTCTTTGTTAAATGCTACACCGTCTCTAGCCAAGATCTAGATGGAAAGAAATTTCAACATTTTTTAGAAAATGGAGCAGTTAAGGTACGTGTTTTCCAAAACTTATACCTATTACTAATTTTTTATTAATATTTTCTGGAGCAAAAATTGTTGTGCGAAAGTGTGGAGTTTATCAATTACCAATGTGGCAAGAGTTGCAACACTGGTGATAAAACCTGCATGGTATTATGTAGCGAGAGACTTTCACACAAAAGAAATTAGTTATTTTTAAGCAACCATGTTTTCTGTTTTATAAAAATTAATTCAAATAAAGCGATGTGATTATCGAAAGCATCAGGAAAATTGGTGAATTTCAACTTACGATTGCGCGCCAAAAATGAGTACCTCAAGATTACACTATTCATAAACGAAGATTTTAAGCTGAATAACTTTATTTTAGTAACCAATCTTTATAAACATGAAAGTTTGAATTAACAGACAAAGGCAGACGAGGCGTTAATGAAAATCCTATCACAAATCTATTATTGCGATTAAAAGTTTTTCATTCTTGAAACATTCTTGAAGGCCGATTCATTTTCACATTCTTTAAACATTCTTGAAGGCCGATCATCGCTATAAGACCACTTAAGATTTAGTGAAAACGTGGATTCTGTATGTTTCATATCATAGGCAGAAATCATCATATATATATATATATATATATATATATATATATATATATATATATATATATATATACGTATATATATATATATATATGTATATATATATATATATATATATATATAAATATAATATTATATATATATATATATATATAAAAAAATAAATAATCGTATTTATATATATATAAATAAATAATAGTAAAAAATCTGTACAATTAGGGTCATTTTTTGGGAAGATTTGGGAAAGGAGTACATGTGCGTGAGTATATATATATATATATATATATATATATATATATATATATATATATATATATATATATATAAATATATATATATATATATATATATATATATATATATAAATAAATAAATAATCGTATTTATATATATATAAATAAATAATAGTAAAAAATCTGTACAATTAGGGTCATTTTTTGGGAAGATTTGGGAAAGGAGTACATATATATATATATATACTCACGCACATGTACTCCTTTCCCAAATCTTCCCAAAAAATGACCCTTGCAATGATATCGGTTATTCCCATTTAAATAAAAAATTCTCCCAAATCTGAATAAAATCCAATCTAATACGACATTCTAACTGCGGCAAATATTCTCCCAATATCTACAGGAATTCCAAGGTAACACAGACGGATATTCCATTGTCCATCACATGGTGATTCCTCATATTTCTGCTCGGTTTATTCGCATTCATCCAACGGCTTGGTATAAACATATCTCGATGAGAGTTGAATTTTACGGTTGTTATGCATACTAATTATAGCAAACGCTTTCATATATACGTTTTTCAATATTAATGTTATTAATATCCTGATCTGTTTTTCGTAGCATTAGTAACTTATTTATTTATTAGTAATTTATATATCTTATTTTGCAAACATATATGCATATATGTAAAGGCGATGTTTTAATAACTTTTGTTTCGTTAAAGGGCGTAAGGTTTTAAAGGGATCTCTATTATATGTGATTTACCTCTTCAGGTTTTGATATTTTTAATTTTGAAAGTTAAATGTTGTATCATAGAATGATTTTATGGAACAAAGATAGTTAATTAACTTCGAGAGCTATCATGTGCGTTGTTATTGTTATAATTAATTAAGTATTCATAACGCAGTCTTAGGAGCCCGCATGTTTTTGATTGTTTGCTGGTAGGCTAGCAGTCAACGTGTTGTAAGTTGTTGCTTTCCCGTATGCTGCAATCTTACAACGAATGTCACGCTATACGAAAAACGGTTTAGCACCCCCTGACTTGCATACGTTGTGTTCCTCCTCTATCACGCCTGGCTCACGCTCTTTTTTGCAGAGCCATCGAGAGACATGCATTAGGGAGATTTATCAGCGACTACGAGTACGAGATTCGTCATTCTCGGCAGGTATCAGCAAATGTCCACGTCTAGGACGGTTCGTAAAGACTCTTGCTTAATTCACATCGCATTTTAAAAGCTCAAAAAGACGCGTTAATGTGTTCCCCAACACTGGCGTAGCCAGCATCGATAGTTTGGGGGGTCCATATTCATATATTCATGTAAACAGACTGTAAAGACAATTGATTTGAAAAGAAATTATCCTGCGTATCACGAATATATGAATATGGACCCCCCCCCCCAATTATCGTTCTGGCTACGCCGCTGTTCCCCAACAAAATTAAATTGATCAATTTCGTACAGTGATTTTTGGTCGCCATTATTTTCTTTTATAGCTCTTGCTATGATACAACCGACACTGATCTGAATAATGCACTAAAAAACTGAACCGCATGTGCCCACACGCCTCACCGCCTGCCTGCATTTCAGGTCATGATCAGCCTTTAGTAAAGAAAATACCTAGGTCTCAATCGTTTTGTTTTGTTTTGTTTTGTTTTGTTTTGAAGATATGTTTTGCAGGGACCACGGAGCGTTTTTCATATTGCTGGTGCTGGGAGCCGCGGTCCTGCTAGGAGAGGCCTCTGAAATGGCCGCAAATGCCTCTCATTTCAGTTAGATACTTTTTGTCTCTATGTTTTCTTTGATTTGCATATGTACTGAAGCATACATAATTTCAATCCATTTGTAAACATGGCGGATTTAGTACGACAGATATCGTTAGAAATTTGAATGCTCATTTGTTTGGTTATTTAATTATACGTTGAAGAAGTAAAAATTACGATAATATTCAAGATACATAAGATACACTGCATATACTTGTAAGCAAAGATACCAATTGCTAAAAGCATTGTTTGTAAATTTGAGCGAACTTGAAAATATTCGAAATTGAAGACTAATTACGGAAAAATTATTGGTGGAGCTAAAGCCCAACCCTGGTCCGCGCTTCCTATTTTGTATGTAATTTATTTTTTTTACGCTAGGCCAATTATTTTCAAAGTTACGGCCTCCCGATTTATATCTATCTTAGATTAAAATCAAGAGTTCAGTTTTTATTACTGTCTTGAAGACATAAATAATTTTTAGTGAAATGAGCTTTGATTTATCGAAATTCGCCATCATGACTTACAATTTCCTATTACATTTTTGCATTCATAAGAATTGATAGCACCTAATTTTTGACATATCTACATTAATTTTGTACCCGATTTCAGCACTTTTCCAAGGATGCAGATTTACAACTTTGGAATCTCGTATATATGTTAATTTTGCTTTTAAGAAAAATTTAACGATGTCTCAAGTAAACACAAGATATAATATATTATTTTTATGCATGTTGATAAATGCGATTGAAATGGCGTTTTGATGTATTATAGACATATTGTTGTTTAAATATAATGTATTCCACAACATAATTCACTGCATGATTTATAATCTCAAAGCTTTCCATCCCTGATTAACTCAAATCTTCATGCAATACAAAAATATATACATATACAGTAATTATACAGAATATTTTAGTATGATATATTGTATGGAAAATGTTGAACATTCAAATGGATTTATATAAATTTTATGTGCTTGTGTAGCTACTTTTCGGCGCCGATCATCATCATAATCATCATCATCATCATCATCATCATCATCATCATCATCATTTTTTACGCTGAGAGGTTGCTCTGATGCGCGTTCTCAGCTTCTGGGTCGTCGATCACTTTCCCAAATTTCGTTCTATCTTGCATTATTTTCAAAATCTGCGCCTTTTCAATTCTTCCATGCATCATTTCACTTATTTTCGGCCAAATATCTCTTGCATTCGGCACTTCCTTCTCCATAAATAGCATCTGCTTTTGCCAACTGTTGTTTTTCAATGGTGTCCTGTGGGCATGCAATATATATTTAAGAAACTGCTTGTCAATGAAGGATTCTATAGTTGTTGTTTTCGAGATTTCGTGGAGCTTTTTGTTGCTGATTTTGAGAGCGAACGGGTTTTTGGCTTTGGGGTTATCTTCTCCCTACCTCGTGTTACCACATTTGATAATTTTCCTCAAAAATAATCATTAAACGACTTCCAGCCGGTTTTACTTCTTTGCTTTCATCTGCCACGCTTGCTTCGGACTAGTGACTCTGAAAGGGAGATTCTAGCTTCGAGGTTTATCCTGCGGTCTGTGAGTGCGTGCTTGTGTTTGTTGAAAGGAGTCCAGGCTGCAACGATTTGATAGTTCACGAAGTAATCAGCGTCTTTTGCGCTGATGTTTGCCATCAAACGATGCATGTTAATTGTTTGTCAGGTGTATTTGCTGTAAAAGAGAAAATAATTGAATTTCTGCAATCTTTTGACAGCTCATCATACACATCTGACAGCTGTGAAATGGCCATTTTGGGGCTAAAAGTATACACAAGGTTCTTATGATTCGTCCATGCCATGCCCAAGCTTCAAATATTTCGTGCAAGACATATTTTTTTGAGTATTTATAAATATTTTTCTCACCAACGGTTCGAAGCCTAAGTATTGAGAATTGGGTTAAGTCTTTGAATTGGGTTAAGTCGAATTGCTTCTGCATGAAAGAACGTTTATTAATCCGATAAAATTCTCGGCTTTTAAACGTTTAGGTGCCGGTTGTTAAAAAGACGGTTAACTTAACCCAGGGTAAACGCTAACTTAACTTTTAACAATAGGACCCAGATGTTGCTGAATTTGTTTAAAAACGTTTTTTAGATTCGAGAAAAGTTATAGCACGAAAAGTTCTGTATCCGTTGGTAAACCTTTTTTTCACTTTTAACAAAGTATCCTAGACCTGTGTTTTTCTATGGAAGATCACAATTAAGTGTCGACTTATGAAAAATCGTGCAAAATAATCCGCTGTAATCGCAGCAGGTACGGCATGTTCTATTACTTTTGTGGGCCCCCCATGTCGTTATTATTTGATGAAGCTCATTTTATTATTTATTACTGCTTTATATGTTTTGGCAATTGACACTTCAGGAAAAGACGTCGCTATCTAACATGAATGTCATTGTTACAGACGTCAGTAAGTGTTTCAAGCGGATGAACAACGTTTAATATTGCTTAGCAAAGAGTTAAATTAAACTAAGTTTGCGTGCATACTAACAGCTGCACCGAAGAGTATAAGAGGAATCGAGGTTTTTCTGAGAAATTCAAGTTAATATTTGTACTGTCAGAAAAGACAATATCGATACATAAGGTAAAGCAGTGATTCAGAATGAATCATCGTGTTTATTATTGATTGAATGCCGGGGTCTAAAAAATGCACTAAAAATATAAGCATGGAGAACAGAATCATTCGGCGAGCTACAGTACTGTTCAGAAATAACCTATCAAAAACCGGTTAACCTATAGGTCAAATGTTGGTCTGATGGCGGTTGAGTCAAGGTCAGACTGAGGTCGAACTGCGGTGAGACGGAGGTTAAACGTCGGCCTAACTCGGTCTGACAGACATTTCTTAAGATTTTTCGATTTGGTTATTGTGTTGTCGTTCTCAGCTGTTCATAAATTTCGTTCCGAAAGAACAGCCACTGCGAAGGAATTCCCCTTGCGATCGTCTGCGGTTTCTATCGGTCGATCGATCGCAACCGAACCAGAGCCGAACCGCAACCGCAGTGTTAGGTTATTTCTAGACAGCACTCTACGTTTAGGCTGAATAAAGCCATACATCGTCACATCCTTATGCGTTTTTTAATAATTTAAATTTTCATCATAATATATTTTAGTTTTGGGAACTTAAACAGCAATGAGGTTCATTGGTCATACAATCAACATCTTTGTTCCTATATTGACCCTCGTGATAGCTTTGTTGGACACGATCGCCAGCGTAGACTTTTGCTACGATTCAAGTTTTGAAGGTGAGAGTTGCTGATCAGAGCTACAGTATACATGCAGCAACGGCTTCAAGACGAAACGTTTTAAAATTTTCACTATGCACGTATAAATATACACATTGTTCCGGCAAGTTAATGACATAATGATTAACTTTCGCCTCGATAGACACACTGAATTAGCCTTTCTTACGATGGCGAATATATGCCGCCATTTTTGGGGACCTTTTTTTCAAAACCGCATGCGCAAGACTCGTAACGGCGACTGTCTTTAATTTTAGTTTTAGGCTGAATTTATTTTTCAAATGGTCTGTTGATTCTAAAAAAATTATTCTCATTTTGGTATAATATTTTAAACCTATTTGAGAAAATTGAAAGTACCCTAAAACGTCATCGTGAGAAAGGCTAATTGGTTTGAACCAATACAACCATATGCAAGCTTCCATTAACGGCGCGTCCAAAATAAGGTTTTGAAAAGTTTGAATTAATGAGTTTTTCAACGGAAACACATTTGTTTTGACACTCAAACGTTCTCTGGGAGGGGCCAAGACAATTAGTTTCGCGATCAAAACATTACACTTTTGCCCATATTTTGCCTACACTTTTGCCCAAAATTTGTAGCTTTGTTATAGAGTTTAAATAAACAGACATGGTAGCTATAGATCTTGTTGCTCAAGAATGGATTCCCCTGAAATTAGTTGCTTCACAAAAAATAATATATAATATAATTGCACCTGTCAAATCGCGGATATTTTCGTAATTTTCATCTTATATATAGCGAATTTTAGAGAATTCAACTGTAAATCCATTCTTCAGCAATAAGATGTCTATATCTACCATTTCTGTTTATCTCAAACTTCATAAGAAAGCTACAAATTTTGGTTACATATATAGGCAAAAGTGTAAAGTTTTGATTGCAAAACTAATTGCTTTGCACTCTCCCAAAAAACGCCTCAGTGTCAAAACAAATGTGTCTCCGGTGAAAAATTCATTAATTCAAACTTTTCAAAACCTTAGCTTGTTGCGCGGATGCGCAGTCAATGGAAGCTGGCAAATGGTTGTACCTCGCGGTGAGAAAAAAAATTGAGGCCGTATTGGGTCATACTATCGTCACCAAAAGTGTATTATATAGTTTTGTAGAAAAGTAAACAACCTCTGTAGAATGGCTGATAACATTTTGCAACACACTTTAGGTTTCAGGCAAAATACAGCAACTTCAACATTTTGTGATAACGAAGAATTTATTTTAGAAACAAAGAATAGCTAAGTATTAAACTCCTGGAATATATTTTTCTACAAACTTCAGGTTTCAGGCTAAATACAGCAATTCACTCAACCGCATTCGTCTATGATTGGGTTGACTGTGCTGGGGAGTGCCTCAAAGAACCGTGTTGTAGATCTATCAACTTTAAGAAGGAATTCATCTCAGAAAATCCGGAAGATTATAATTGCGAAATGTTACATGATGTCATCACCGACGCATCAAAGCACTTGTTGGAACCAAATTCATCCTACAATTACATATTTTTTCATAACCCGCGAAAGGTAATAAAATTGTGCCGCATAATAATTCCGACTTTAGTACTTTCTCAAGCATCATTTCAGACTTAGAATAAATTATCAGTGGCGTAGCCAGGCTAACAATTTAGTCCTGCTATGCAAATTTCATATTCATTACTCCGCCTGCGTATGCGCAGCGGAGTCTTAAAATGCAATGGTCTTTTTTTCCTTTTAGTAGTCGTAGTTTTGGGTGACAGAAGTTAGCATTTCTACAGGTAACCCAAAACAACTTCATTTTTGACCGAGAAGCCCTGGGTTACATGGTCCACAGATGAATTATGTACATCAGTTGGCATGCAGAAGGAGTGTTTTTATTAATTCCTTTCGAAATTCATTGTCTTCACAGTGAATCAATACTAAAATATTAGCATAGCATTACTAAATTGTCGGGCTGGCTACGCCACTGAATGATACAATGAGTGAAGGGTATATAGCTATCATGGTAGATCATTATTTATACATATGCTTTGACTCTCTTTAACTTATTTCAAAATGACAAATATGCCAGGTGTTTTTTGCAACTTTTTGAATTTGACGACAATACACCTGAAGGCCTGTTTCAAGCGTTGAACCTAATTTATAATATACAAAGTCCTCATTTGACGTCTGAAACAGACGTAATTAACTTAAATTGTGTACAATATCATGAAACTGCATTTACATTTATAGAACTACAATTCAAGTTGTCTAATTCCAAAAGGTAAATCTTAACAAAATATATCATAAAGATAAATTATTAGTGGGGAAGGACAAAAAGGAGAAGAAAAAACCACAATCGTATTAGTTAATTAAATAACACAGATGACATTTGCTGTGCATGCATTCAGTTGTTAAAATATCGTGCGTACGACTGCACGTTTTTCTCGTCTCATGGAAGGCGTACCACAAAATTGACGAAAGCGAAGGCGGAGAAATATAAAAAATGAGTTGCCATGGCGAATCTGGCACACAGATTTCACTTCCAAGGAGGCGGGACGTCCTCTCCTGTAATTTTTCCAAACTGTACAGTCTCGTTTAAATAAATAAGGAACCAACGATGGCGATTACATCTCTGACGCATGTTTCAATTCGTTGAATGTCTTCTTGCGTGACTTTAGCTTGGTATACTCAATTGCACGATGGTCATTTTTTTGTCTAGTGCCGGATTTCTTTGAAGCAGACTTAGCAGTTATAATTGTTGAATGTTATAGTAGTTATGATAGTTATGAATGTACTGAATGTAAATTGGCTAACTTTGGATTGCGAGAAGAGTTGAAATTACTCGGGTTGCTGTGGTAGCCTAGTCTCGGTTTCGCAATTATTTTTTTGTGTGGCAGGCTTACACCTGTATTCAAAAAGCTCGCTCACACTCATTGAGTGCGACATTGAAATTTTATTATTACTGATTATAATAAGAAAGTTTTTTTCTCAATCATTGGAAACATTCATGATCAAGGGCGTCTTAATTTTTCATGTCAGTTGATGGTGAGAATAATATTTTAAGCATTCAAAGATAGATATTACCCTATGTCAGTTTTTAACCTCTAATTTAAAGTATGACCATAATGAAAAAAATATCGCAAAAGGTTAATAAGTTACATGCAATGTCAGACTAATATAAACACTTCTCCCATTGAAAGCTCGTCTATCATTCTGATATCGCGGATTTTCGATTTTGCCGAATCGTTTTGTGATCGTATAATGCTCGCGAATATACAATATTTGCAAATTTTGCAGAATAGTAAAACACTAAGAATAATGTCGGCCATTACTTTTCGATTCTCACTGCGTTCAGGTTTAATCTGCATTCTATCGTGGATTATACTTCCGTTGTTCCATGTGTTCGATTAATATTGTAATTCAATTGACTCTAATATTCATATTTAGACACCTGGGGCCAGTTGTTCAAAAGTCCGTTAGCTAACCCTGGGTTAAAGGAAATCTTTACAAAGTTGAATATATTTTCCTATAAATAATTTCTGGACCGACAAATGCTATACTTTGTCACGGTTTTAAAACGAACAGCTGTTCAGAGGCACTTAAACCAAAACAGTTGATTAAAATTTAACCCATGATTAACGCTAATCATGACTAACGCTAGCTTTGAAGAACCAGCCCCAGATTAATTAGCTATCGTAAATGGGTTAGATTGCAATCTCGTGCTTACACAAAATGCATGCTTACACAAAATAGCGACGAAATGTGGGTATTTTGAACGGCCGATCCCAGGGCCTTTCATCTTCCCCCGTCCCCCCAACCCTCCCTACAAAGTCCCAAACGGCCCTAGGAACGAGGTTGGTTACATTGGAATAATTTAGTGAGGAATCAAATGTCTTTAAGCCCTGTATGGTTTCTTAGATTAGTTTTTTTTATTTAATTAGATATTACAATATAAGATTGCTTTTCCAGAAATAATATAATCACTGATGTGAAAAATGATTTCGTTTCGGACCTGTTGGAAAAAAATGTTATGTGGGAACAGTTGCCTGAGTAATAAAGACGTTGCTAACTATGAAGTATAAAGAGCAATTTCATTTTAAAATTACAAAGAAATGCAACACTTCTTTCTATTGATATAGCGTCGTGCAAAATGGCTCTCAGAATGGAAAGTGGTGATATTAAAGATGACCAAATCAACGCATCAAGCGAATTTGATAAAAAGCATCGGCCGGCTAATGGAAGATTAAATTTCACACCGCAAAATGGAAGAAAAGGGGCATGGTCATCCAGGAACAATAACCTTCAGCAGTGGTTTCAGGTTGATTTTCAAAGATCTACTCTGGTAACTGGAATCAGCACCCAAGGACGCAACAGTTATAATCAGTTTGTTAAAAACTACACCGTTTCTTTCAGCGAAGATGGGAAAAAATTTCAGAAATATTCACAAAATGGAGGAGTCAAGGTATTCTGATCGTTTCAAGTTATGAAATTAATACACACGCAAGCATACGTATTCATTAAGAAGCTATGAGCTTCCCATAGAATATACATCGTTTAGAGACAACATAAAAGTATAATAGAACTCATTAACTATGTCGGGGAACATTTACGCGAAAAATTGTTCCCGCTTTGTCACGTGTCTATTTTATTTTGAGTTATTTAAAATTTTCTTTACAAAGCAAACATAAAAACATTATCAATTAAAATCATTAAAAATCCTTAGAAAAAGGAATAACCTTAAAATTAATCAACTCAGATCTAATTTGAGGTGCATGCGAGAACTAATATGGCGACCAGACTACATAGAACTGCGCAATACTAATATTGTAATTGGACGCCACATTAGTATATTATAAATTGGCACTGAGGTTTTTCAAATTTTATTTTCCAAATTGCACCTGCGTGACTCCTGCCTCTTTCCTTGCTAGTCATTTTGAAACATACACAAAAGCCTCTGTAGAAGAGGGTGGGGCCACGGTTATAAGTTTTGTTCGCATATTCCAGCAAAATGTAGGCTACTACGTGCAATTCTGAATCTTGAATTAAGAATATATTACGATGAAAGCTGTAATACGACATAGCGTCAAATATATTTTTCACATGTACAGGAATTCCAAGGAAACAGCGACAGGGATTCCGTCGTTCATCACGTGCTTTTTCCTTGTATTTCTGCTCGGTTCATTCGCATTCATCCAACGGCTTGGAATGGACACATCTCAATGAGAGTCGAATTTTATGGTTGCCATGAAAATTATGTTTTGCAAAACATTTCGGACGATTTAAGGTGGCTCCCTACAGTTTCTCGAAATTTTTAGATGCACATTTCAAACGGAGATATTCAGCATCTAAACGTTTGACTAGAAGACTAAAATTTTATGTAACTTTCTGGCAACATACCTAAAGCAGTAATCTATTCAGAACTTGTGCTTGGCAGTCGTTGCCATAGCAACAGAGACGTTTCAAAATGGCCGCTAATGGCGCTAAAAAGTATTCAATCGAGTTTATATCGCAAACGAGTTTGATAACCCCCAATTTTTTTTTTATCATAATTTTACCCCACAGATGCTTTATCGATCGTAAAGTTTTAAAAAAATTCTGTCTAGTGCGATTTTTTCTATTGCAAAAAACGTTATTTTAGTTTTTTAAAAAAATCGCACTAGACAGAATTTTTTTAAAACTTTACTATCGATAAACCATCTGTGGTGTAAAATTATGATGAAAAAAAATTGTGGTTCACCGAACTCGTTTGCGATATAAACTCGATTAAATGCTTTTAGCGGCCATTTTGAAACGTCTCTGTTGCTATAGCAACGACTGCTAAGCACATGTTCCGACTAGATTTCTGCTTTAGGTATGTTGCCAGAAAGATATATAAATTTTTAGTCTTCTAGTCAAACGTTTAGATGCTGAATATCTTTGTTTAAAATGTGCATTAAAATTTTCGAGAAACTGTAGGAAGCCACCTTAAGTTCGATCATACATCTTCAGTACACTTGTTATTGTATGTAGTGTGCAGCAATATAACCAAGGAGCAGCCTGGCAACTTCTTCAAACAACTTAGCATCCTGACGAAGGCCCTCTGGTCGAAACGTCGAGAAGTGTTTTGTTTATTTAGGCAGTTGTCACACCACATTTGATGCTAAAGTGTGCAGCAATGTTCTCATATCTTACGAATTTCGTTAAAGGCGCTAGTGAGAAGGGTATATAACGGGATGTCTATTACGATACCTCCCCTCCTCCCTTCTCCGGTGTCTGTGGAGTACGATGATTTGAAAAGCATATTTCGTGCTGGACCATATCATGGTGGCACCTGGAGAGCAATAACCCGTTGCCACCAATCTTCAACGTTTTGGATCGGACGTGCTCATGTTTTCATTTTGCAAGCATATTTGTAGATTAAAAATAGTTTGCGATCTAATTTTTTGTGCATTAAAATTTTGCGGTGTTTAAATAAATCCGCCCCACATGTATTGGCCCAATTAACCATTTCCCAAATGAGCAGGGTACTGGGTCTAATCGTGAACCTCAGAGCATCTATGGACTGTAGGGACGGATAAATGCATGTCATTTGTAATCAATTGTCCCATCAAATAGTCCATGGATACTTTGCGGTTTGACATTAGACCCAGTACCCTGCTCCATTAGGAAATGGCTAATTACGAGTGTTAACTTGCCACATCTTGTTAATATAAAGGCAGGTGTTATAAAGTGCCTTCATCATGCTTGTGGATTATGATTATATCAAAAGTGTAAGATATTTTAAAAAACTTTGTAGTATATTTTGTTATTGAAAAATTTTATCTTGTTCGTGCAACCTAAACAAAAGAAAACTGATTTGCAAAATTCCAAAACTTTTGATATAAAAATTCAACATCTGCAACCATGATATTTAAGATTGAATTGTTGGAAATTACCTACATCGAGTGAAGTGCCATAAAATCGTAATTAATATTTTAAAATGCTTAAATTAAAATAAAAAATATTCCAGTGCCTGCGAAGTTTGAAGCCATATATACGTGTCTAAAAACAAAATGTTACTATAACATATATAATATTCTTGTATGTTTGCATGGTGACAGTCGATAAGTGATTTGGTTTGTATACGTAGGTACACCATGTTAGTATTTAATACTGCAAAGCTCTCAGTCCGTTAACCCGGGCCTTCATCAGTGCAATTATCTGAATACACATTCACACGTCACTTAAAAATCACGTAAGTCGTGATTTGTTGGCTTGCGCCGTTAATTTAAACGGTTTCACTTACCAAATAATTATGAAAAAGAAATAGTTCTAATTAGGGCTAAATTACTTACTATAACTTGTTACCATGTAGGACGAAATTTAAATGAAACTTGCTTCAGCGAATATTTTGATACTTTTGATGAAAAAGTGCTATTCATTTTCTTGGTGGAATTCAAAGTTATTAGGGGAAATTGAAAGTTAGTGGAATAAATGATTGACCGAATCGGAAGAAATTAAAAAATGAGTTAGGACCGCAAATTCTATGCTACCTCTATTCTCGATATATGTTTATAGGAAAGAATAACTTAAATTGGATTTTTGAATACAAGACGCCGTTTGAAGAAATATTGTATCAATTTTTCACGCTTACCCATTACCAGAAATTTGCAACATAGTGATTTGCAAATATACAAATTTTCATTTAACTTTCAACAATCATTTACCTTCAACTTTTACTATAAAATACATATAGCAAAAGTACACCTAAAATTGACTTGCTCTGGATCAATAGAACAGCAATTTCGCAACGTTTTCACGATCGAATTACTTACCTTGGGTGTTTCTACGTTCCGTTCCTGTGTTCAAATGTGTATATACCCTTCGCATGGTTGAGTTGCCTTATAATATACTGTGTTAGACTGATAATAACCGAGCGCGAGGTGTTTACCGAGAAATATCGGACCGAGGTCTTTTTGAACATACCGAGCTTGAAGAGCGAGAAGATCGAAAAGATCGAGCAAGCGAGGGTAATAAAAAGTTTATCATTTGGCATAAGGCATATATTTGCGTTTGAAACAAACAAGAAATGCATGAATTCGTATCACTAGCCTGTCACGCATTTGCATGACAAAAACAAAAACAAAATATTGAATTATTTACTTTACCTAAACTGTTTGAATACGTCATATTAATTTAAAAAGCAATTAACTTTTCTCTTGAGCATTTATTTGTGCCTTTTTCGTTTAGAATTTTCCCGCCGGTCTTCCATCTCGTAATGGATCACCGCTAACGCCGGGCCATTACGGGAAAGTAATGGACCGCTGAAAATTCTTCTCAGCCAATTACTGATTTCCATTCCACCGGAAGTGACGCTTGCCTTATATAATAATATTTTTAAAGTGACTGCGGAAAATAACTGACCCATTAAGGAAAATATATATCAGGAATGGGAAAAACAACAACTTGAACAAAATTTCTTGGCATGTTACACGTTCTATGAATGTGAGCGATTTTATAAGTTCGTTGAGAGAACACGGCCAAAATTTTGAGACATATATATTTTAATTTAGCAGACTGCAGAAATACCCAAAGTGAAAGATTCCGTTAAACCAAAACGTCTCTAAACAGCTGTTCTATCCATCTGTGGCTCTGACTTTGCGACGTTTTATATTTTGACACAATTTATTTTATATGAAAACTCGGAAGCGCCTATGAATTAAATGCAGACTAGCGCACAAGCGACAGCAATTTCTGGTAATGTTAAGTGTTTTACATTGTGATCGATTTGTCATTTGTGGGTGACTTCATATAAACTAAAATAGAAAGTCGTTTAGGGAAAATTGAGCCTTAATTTATTATGCCTAAGCTCATCTAGTTTTATTGTCAAAAGCGACAAATGCAGGTGTTTTTCGTATTAGCATTTTCATATAAGCTGGCAAAACTTGCTATTATTTCACAGATCCGTGATAGCTTAAAATTTGTCAAAGTGAATCATGCTCAAAATTGTTACCGTGTTTCTACTTTTGCCTGCGATTATTGCAACCATTTATGGAAACCAATGTGGACAGAAAAATTACATCGTCGCGACGGGTTAGTGTTTTATTAGACTGCTCATAATTCCGGGAAAGAATTGGTTAAATTTTTTATTCAGTGTTAAAATTTTGAATCTTAGGTGGTCCATCACTGTTCCCACATGAGATAATATCAAGACACCACATCACCACTCCGGTTGTCGTATTAGAATGTTATACTCACTGCCAAAACGAAGCTCAGTGTGTCGGATTCAATTACAGAACAACAAAAGCTGTTGAAAATTGTCAACTGACCAACGTATCCAATATCAGTAGAGAATCGAAAGGAGATTGGATTTTCATGTATGACGTTAAAGCGGTATGTTGGAAAAGAATAGAAATTATTTCCTTAATTTTTCAGGATATTTAAAATCTAAAGAAGTAATACTCTAAAAGTAAAAACGCAGTCACTTGTCATGGCGACGCACTTCAAATTCAACGTTTAATGTCAATATATGTATAGGAACCAGTTGTAGTAGAGGTAATGGCCTGTACGATCGAGTCATTATCATTATCATTTGCAAGTTTCCCTAAACTTTTCCCGCCTATTTCTTCCGACATAAAATATAAACGGTTACTCGCCGGTCATTACACAGCAAAATTTACATTCTTATTTCAAATTAAGTAATTAAATATTATTTATTTTAAGTTGTTTATTACTCAAAACAAGGAAAATGTTACTTGTCCGTAAAGTGAGAAAGTTTTTACATTCCAAGAATTGAAAAGATTCTTAGCAAGAAATTTAGTGCTTGAAATAAGAAATATCCAGTTCTTGTTTTAGAACATAACTACGAGTTCTAAGAGTACTACCAAATTCTCATTATTGTCTTAAGAAATTAATAACTTATTTCAAGTGGGTTTTTCACTTGAAACGAGTAAAATGTTACACTTTTCCGTATAGTGAGAAACTTCGTACCAGTTAAGAATTCTTAGCAAGAATTTTTTTTGCTTGAAACTAGGAATTGTTTCTGAGACATAATTGCTAGTTTTAAGCATGTTTCTGCTTAATTTTAGCTGGAAAATACTTATTACTAAAAATTTGAACTCTTGTTTCTAGACATAATTACTTGTTTCAAGTATATTATTACTGCAATTTAGTACAAATATACTTGTCAGTATAATTTTAGTTCTTGTTTGAAGAAATAATTTATTAGTTTTAAGCATCTTATTACTATAATTTAGTAAAAATATACTGGCACACGTAAATCATTTTCTTCTTTCTAGAATATAATTACTGGTTATTACCTAAAATTAGTAAATATTGAAGAATTTAATGGTTTATTGCCTAAAATTAGTAAAACATACTTGTTCATATAATTTTAATTCTTGTTTCTACAATATATGTAATTACTGGTTTTAAGCATGTTATTGCCCAAAATTAGTAAAAAAATACTTGCTCATATAATTCTATTTCTTGTTTCTAGAACCAAATTACGTACCTGCATGTTATACTGTCAGTATATGAGGTATTCACACCCCAATTAGTCTGTTGTTACCAATTTTATATAAAAATATTTATTGCTTGAATTTAAAACTATATTTGCAATTCAGATACAGACATAATAACTGAAGTGTTTTTCAGTCTGACAAAAGTAATCATTCAAATTTCGTGTATATACATGATGCTTTTTACGATAAAAACTACAATGTTGCTTAGTGTTCTTAAGGTTGCTTGGTGTCCTTGTTTAAATAAGCACAACCCTGCTTGGTGTTCTTGTTTTGTTTGCTGTGTTTGAAATGACGAGGGGCGGAGGGGCTATTGCATGCATGGATTTCTAGTTATATTTTGAAAATTAGCATAAAACAGCGCATTTAATTAAAATTTAGTATACTTGTTGATTTTTGTTATCTTATTGAAATAATGCGCTTTTTACTCCAAAAGGGAGAACTAAATTTAGGAATCAAGAAGAAACGAATTTTTGGGGCGCATAAGATTTTATCCTGATCAGCTACAACGGATTTCTCCTCGAGAAATTCTGAGGGTTAGAAATTCTCCGCTTGATTACTACAGCTTGTAATGAATTTTCTATAGATAAAGAATAAGGAAGAAAAAAGCAGAAGTTCAGGTCTGTTTTGTAATAATTATTGATAATATTAAATTCTTCAATATTCGAATTGGTCTAAGAACCATTGCATACAGGCTAACATGCATACAGGCTCACATTGTATGTAGTTACTTCAACAGGAGAGGCAAGACCTGTACTTAATTAGAAATATGTTCGAATAAGATAATTGTTTTCGGTGTGTCATCAGGGCTGCACTTACACTTTCTAGGAGGTGGTGGTGTAGCATGATAAAATTTCTTAGTAGCTAGAGCATATAAAGTATCCAATGTAACCCAAATGCAATAATTATGTAATTAATTTCATTTTGACATTGATTTAATGTTGCATAATATTGTTTTTCCATAAATATTTCGACTCATCAGCTTCGAATCACTGATGTAAAGAATGATTTTGTTTCGGACGTGTTTCGGAAAATCATGTTATATGAGAACGTCAGTTCCCTGAGTAATAAAGACGTCACTAACTATGAAGTATAATAAAAACTCAGTTTAAAATTACCAACAATTGCAACATTTATTTCTACTGATATAGCGTCATGCAAAATGGCTCTCGGAATGGAAAATGGTGATATTATTGATGAACAAATCACGGCATCAAGCGAATTTGATACAAATCATCAGGCAGCTAATGGAAGATTAAATTTCACACCGCGAAATGGAAGAACTGGTGCATGGTCATCCAAGTACAATAATCTTGCCCAATGGCTTCAAGTTGATTTTCAAAGATTTACTTTGGTAACAGGAATCAGTACCCAAGGACGCAATCGTCATAGTCAGTTTATTAAAGGCTACATCATTTCTTCCAGTGAACATGGGAAAAAATTTCAGAAATATTTACAAAATGGAACAGTAAAGGTATTATTCTAATTGTAAATTATGAAAAATAATACGCATGCAAGGATACGTATGCATCAAGAAGTTTACGCTCCCCATAAATCATAACATGTGATTTGATGTCACAACGGTGATATTTTTATATGAAACAAAGTGGAATATTTCGAGTAAGAAGAGACTCAGTAAAACTCCATGAAACATTGCTTTGTTTTTTTCAAATCCATTTAAAGGGGTCGGTACGTACCTATATGAACAAGCTTTGCTATTGGTTGATAATAACAATAAAAACCATGAACTATAGATATTTATTGCTATTGGAGTTGATTTCTAAGAGAACGAATCATAAACAATGTTCACTATTTTTACAAATTTGAAAAGGCCAAACATAAAACTCCTTCATATTAGGTAGATACTAGATACTTACTGCTTTACAAAGCAAACATGAACATTTTGGGTTAAGTTTTGTGTCATGGGCATTTGAAAGATATCCAGCTTTCATAAAATGCATTAGCCCAAATTGAAATAATTATTAAACAAATCCCTAGAAATTTGAGGATGGCGCAGCGGGAATATTATGATAAATATGGGAATATTTGATCAAAATCTCCTACATGCAATTCTGATCACTGATTTAAAAATATATTACGATGAAAGCTGTAATACGACCTATATATTTTTCACATCTACAGGAATTCCAAGGAAACAGCGACAGGGATTCCGTTGTCAATCACGTGCTTTTTCCTCATATTTCTGCGCGGTTCATTCGCATCCATCCAACGGCTTGGCACAAACACATCTCAATGAGAGTCGAATTTTATGGTTGTTATGAAAAATAATTTTTGCAAAACCTTTCGCACGATTTAAGTTTAATATGAATACGGTCTGCAAGGTTTTTCTCTTACTTTTAATATATGAACGATCATACATCTTCAGTACATATTGTATTTAGTGTGCAACAATGTAAATAACGGGATCTCTATTACGATACCTCCCCTCCTCCCTTCTCCGGTGTCCGTTGAGTACGATAATTTGAGAAGCAGTGTCTTATATGGATAAATTGGCGATAAAAAGCCGTTTTAGACCTTCTTTTGAACATATTTCTTGCCGGACCATATCATGGTGGAACCTGGATAGCAGTAACCCGTTGCCACCAATTTTCAACGTTTTGGAGGTGCTCATGTTTTCATTTTTCATGCATATTTGTAGATTAAAAATCTTTTGCACCCTAATTATTTGTGCATTAAAAATTTTGTGGTGTTTGATGTGTCTGATCTGATGTGTTTGACATGTCAAAATTTTGATGTGTCTTGCCACGTCTTGTTAATATAAATCAGGTATTAAAGTGCCTATATCATCGTTGTGGATTTTGCATATATGAAAATGCAAGGTATTTTAAAAAACTTTTCAATATATTTTGCTATTGAAAAATTTTATCTTAACGGATTTATTAGCCTATAAAGTTATCGGACAGGACATCAAATCGGAAATTTCGTGCAACTTAAACAAAAGAAAACTGATTTTCAAAATACCTTTAACTGTTGATAAAAAAATTAAAATCTGCAACCATGATGTTCGCGATTTAAGATAGGTGATTTTAAAAACTGTTAGAATTTACCTACATCGAGTGTTTGCCACAAAATCGTAATTAATATTAATGCTTATTCCAGTGAGGGGGAAGTTTGAAGCCGCTTATAGTTTTCTAGAAATAAAATGTTACTATATCCATGCCATGACTATGCCATCAAGGACGAAGTTGAAATGAAACATCTTCTGAACAATCTTCAGCCTGTCGACGTCCAAAAACTTTTTTGGTCATAGTTTGACCTGCTGAAATGTCAACGATCCCTTTCAAAAACACATACTAGATGAAAATATTTTGCTGCCTCAGCAAATATTTTGGTAGTTTTGGTGAAAAGCGTCCGAAAAAGTGTTCCAAAGTGGCAGTCATTTTCTAGTGGAATATAGGGTATACCTCTATTCACGATAAATGTTTATAAGAAAAGATCAACTTGAATTGCATTTTTGAATACAAGAAGCCGTTTGAATACAATAAGAAATATTGTGCTTTAGTCAATTTTTGACGTCTGCCATGCATTGTGATGATTGAATTAGCTACCTTGCGGTTTCTACTTTCCGTTCCTGTTTTGAAATGTGTATATACGTTTCGCATGGTTGAACTGCCACTGATAATAACATTAATCGAGCGCGAGGTGTTTACCGAGAAATATCGGACCGAGGTCTTTTTGAACAGACCGAGCTTAAAGAGCGAGGTTTGTTCAAAAAGATCGAGCAAGCAAGAGTAATAAAAAATTTATCATATGGTATAAGGCATGTATTTGCGCTTGAAACAAACAAGAAATGCATGAATTCCTATCACAACCTGTCACGCATTGGTATGACAAAAACAAAAACAAAATTGAATTATTTATTTTACCTAAACTGTTTGGACACATCTTATTAATTTCAAAAGCAATTAACTTTCTCTTGAGTATTTATTTGTGCCTTTTTTCATTTAGAATTTTCCCGTCGGTCTTCCATCTCGTAATGGATCACCGCTAACCCCAGTCCATTACGGGAAAGTAATGGACCGCTGAAAATTCTTCTCAGCCAATCACTGAGCTCCATTTCACCGGAAGTGACGCTTGTCTTACATAATAATATTTTTAAAGTGACTGCGGAAAAAAACTGGCCCATTAAGGAAAATATATATCAGGAATAGGAAAAACAACATCTGGAACAAAATTTCTTGGTATGTTACACGTTCTATGAATGTGAGCGATTGTCTAAGTTCGTTGAGAGAACACGGCCAAAATTTTGAGCAAAATATTTTTTAATTTCGCAGACTGCAGAAATACCCAAAGTAAAAGATTCCGTTAAACCAAAACGTCTATAAACAGCTGTTCTATCCATCTGTGGCTCTGACGTTACGACGTTTTATATTTCGACACAATTTATTTTAAAGGAAAACTCGAAGGCGCCTATTGAAATGAATGCAGACTAGCGCACAAGCGACAATAATTTCTGGTAATGTTAAGTGTTTGACATCGCTAACGATTTGTGGGTGACTTCATATAAACTAAAATAGAAAGTGGTTTAGGCAAATTGAGCTTTTAATATATTATGACTACGCTCATTTAGGTTTATTGCCAAAGCGACACATGCAGGTGTTTTTCGTATTAGCATTTTCATACAAGCTTGCAAAACTTGCTATTATTTTACAGATCCGTGATAGCTTTAAATTTGTCAAAGTGAATCATGCTCAAAATTGTTACCGTGTCTCTACTTTTGCTTGCAATTATTGCAACCATTTATGGAAACCAATGTGGACAGAAAAATTACATCGTCGCAACGGGTTAGTGTTTCATTAGCGTTTCATTATAATTCCTCGAGAGAATTTGTTGAATTTTTGATTCATTGTTAAAGTTTTAAATCTTAGGTGGTCCATCACTGTCCCCACATGAGATAATATCAAGACACCATATCACCACTCCAGTTGTCGTGTTAGAATGTTTATCTTACTGCAAAGACAAAGCTCAGTGTGTCGGATTCAATTACAGAACAACAAAAGATATTGAAAATTGTCAACTGACCAATGTAACCAATATCAGTAGCGATTTGAAAGGAGATTGGATTTTGATGTATGACGTTGAAGCGGTATGTTAGAAAAGACAGAAATTATTATTTTAATTTGTTAGGATATTTAAAAGCTAAAGAAGGAAAACTCTATATGAGTAAAAACGCAGCTAGTTGTCATGGCGACGCACTTCAGATTCAACGTTTAATGTAAATATGTATAGTACAAGCAGCCAGTTGTAGTAGAGGTAATAATAGTCTGTACGATCGAGTCTATATCAACTGCAGGTTTCCTTAAACTTTTCAAGTCTAATTTTGCGGCTGGTCATTACAAAACGTTTATTAGTGAGCTTAGCCGAGTGACGTTTTTGACAAAATAAAGGGCATGGCTAACTTCAAAAAGATGGATCAACGTATGTGTCGTCAAAAACGTCATTTGCTTAAGCTCACAATTATGCGCTAAAGTTGTGCTTATATAGGCATACCTGAAAACAGAAGCGAACATTGATAATTATTTCCTCCATTGGTTGTCTAAAAATCCCTCCTTTTTGAAATTTAGTCCCTTAACTTGAGTGTATACGAAAGCTGGAAAGTGCTATCTACCGGATGGTGATTTTTCAGTAATCGCTCCAAAATTGCCGGAATATGGTACATTCGACCTTGGTGAGGTTCGTAGTAAGGTTCGACGGTTAGCAAGGTTTAACCTATGTAAGGTCGTGTAGATCGCATTCAGATATATTTTACATCACCAAGATCAAATAAACCATAATTATTTTGGTATATTGGATTGAACCTTAATATACCAATACCCTTACCATGGTCGAATATACCATATTCATACCAGGTTTGGGTATATTCGATTATACGATACCTTAAATTCAAATTGTTCAATGAGAAAGCTAGATTTCTGCCACGTGATCATGACATTTTCACCGTATCGTTCTTACGTCATCCGTATTCGCTGCAGTGGCAAATTTTTTATAATCACCAGTGAATATCACTCATAATCGCGGGAAAACACGTGGCGACTACGCTAGCGTCCGTGTGTGAAGAAGATGGCGGGAATAATGTTGTTGTTTGTTTTAAATCAAGAAAATAACGATTCTGACGAGAAAATTAGCCATATTCTCGACTAAAGACATACAGAAAAGGCAACATTTAAAATACGTTTTACGGTAATTTTTTACGTCTTTTACTCATTTTACTCATTTTTTTACTTTTACTGATTTCTAAAAATACTTTCCTAGGGCCGGTTGTTCAAAAGGCGTTTAGCTTAAACGGTGCATAAGTTAAAAATAGAAAACCAAATGATCTATTTATTGAACAACTGAGCTGAAATATTTCGATGTAAATAGTTTAATTGTCAATGGAAGTACATATTAAATGCATAAGATGCAGGTTCAGCCATTCACAAGATCTATGAGAGTATTTTTAAACTTTGGCTTACCCACCGTTTAAGCTAAACGCCTTTCGAACAACCGGCCCCTGAACCTTTGTACTGTATGTTTGGCTATTCTACAAGCTTTTTTCGGTATAATATATATTCATTATATAGACCCTTGCTCGTGCATTTCGGCAAAATATATTCCTCAGTTCTGATATTTCCCTCGGGCCATCACTTGCATGGGGAAATATTTCGCCCAATTCCCCTCACTCTAAGCCTATATAAATGATAAATATACCATATTTTGTTTATATATAAAACAGAGAATATAAAACAATAAGGTCGAATAATTTGATAATACTTCCTTACCAAAGTCGATTATTTATCATTTTATAGACCTGGAGTGAGGTGATTCGGCGAAATATTTCCCGAAGTGGAAACATCATTAATGAGGGAAATATTTTGTCGAATCCTCCCAGCGCAGGGGTCGATAAATCATATATTTGATATACCGAAAAAGTATTGTAAGCTTGTAGAAGAGGCAAACATACAAAGGTTTGCAGGAGAATTATTTCTATATTCTATAAATCAGTAATCATATGATAGCTATGGACTCATTTGAGTCATTTCATGTGAGCTGCGGTCTCTCTAGCTCAGAATATTGTTACGCAAAGCTTTATTGTGTTTGGAGATATGCATAATAAATAGCTGCAAAAATAGGAATATCAATAGCATGACAGGGATTAGTGAATGATTTTTGCCACAAGACGCCTGAGTACGTAAGTATATTTTTCGGCCATTAGCAAACATTAATCGCCTTTCCCTTTCATGTGTGACATATCGTGGGATTAAATAAGTAATAAGGTGAAAATATTTATA